AACTGATTCAGCTCGTTGGTGAATGCAGAGTCGGCGTTGATCGGCGCAGTGTCCCTGGCTTTGTAGTCCGTAATGGTACGTAGTCCGTGCCACATACTCTGTGTGTCGCCCTGGTGGAAGCGGGACTCCACACGTTCCCGGTACCGGCATCTCTCACCGCGCGCCGCATGCCGTATGAGGCCGCTTTGTAGGCGCTCATATCGCCAGTGGTGAGACCCGTGTTGTAGGTGCCAGTCCTGGCATTTACTGCAGTGCGGATTGATCTGTCCATCCACGGTTTCTGGTTTGGGAATGTGGTGACTCTCGCAGTGGGAATAATCTCCTCCGCTAGCATATTGACGAAGCATACTGCTACTTCCGTAAACTCGTTGATGTCGACTGCGCATGCTCTGAACATGTCCCAGTCGACGTCGTTGAGTGCGTCCTGTAGCGTAGCTTCTGATTGGGCAGACCACCGTTTTACCTCCCTCGTGGTCACGTCTTCCCTCCGTATGTTTTGTTTATACTGGGGAATGAGGAAGATGGCGTTGTGGTCAGACTTCCCAAAAGCCGGGTGTGAGACAGCTTTGTAGCCCTGCTTGTATGGCTTGTAGCAGTGATCCAAAATTCGATCCCCCTTCGTTGGACACGAGACATGCTGGTAAAATTTTGGCATGACTTGTCTGAGGTTCACTTTATTAAAGTCTCCTGCTACAATGAGGGCTGCGCCCGGGTCCTTGTTTTGAAACGAACTCAGCACATCATGTAGTTCGGACAAAGCCATACCTGTGTCCGCTTGGGGTGGGATGTAGACCACCGTGGCGATGACCGAGGTGAACTCATGGGGCAGATAGAAAGGGCGGCACTTAATGCTCAGGAACTCCAGATGTGGCGAGTAGCCGCTGGAAAGCCCGGCATCACACCACTTTCTGTTTACCATGAAACACACTGCTCCACCTTTGGTTTTGTTCGACTCTGCCGTTCTGTCCACGCGGAGCACAAAGAATGAATCCGACGGGGTTACGGCCTGGTCCGGCACAGTCAGCCATGTCTCCGTGAAGCACAGAATGTTGCAGTCCCTCATGTCACGTTAGAAGGTGACTATTGCTCTTAGATCATCTAGCTTGTTTTCCATGGATTGGCCAGTAGGATACTGGGCAGTGGTGCGTGATGCGCCTGCTGTCTCAGTCTGTTCCTAATGCCAGCGCGTTTCCCCCGGCGCTTCTTTGTTCTACGCCTCCGATGAGCGGCCAGTCCTTTGTTGTTCTCCGCGCCGCGTAGAATCTCTGGCGGCCAGGATGGGTCGGGTTTAAAAGTGTCCAAGATTAGATGTGCAACCTTGTCACCAATATTTACAAGTGATCTGCCACCGTATACTATAAGACTAGAAGATTTTGGGATGTAAACCAGAGCAAAAAATAAGTAAAAAACAAGAAAAGCGGATAGTCGGAGCGTCTGGACGTGGCCGCGCCATCTTGGTTGGAGTGAGCTCACACCTGAGCCTCAACTCTCGTGGCCCAGTACCAATCGACTCACGGACTGGTACCGGTCCGAGGCCCTGGGGTTGGGGACCGCTGCTTTAGATGTTTGAGGTCTTCATCATTCCTTTCTTAAATGGATCCCAGCCACCTTAGACAGGAAACGTATTTTTATTGCTTGTATCTGCAACACTATTCTTCAGGGCACTAGCTACAGAGCTTGCCCAAAGTTGTGGGTAAATTGCTTTCTGGCTCAGCTCTCTCGTTACCGCAGTGGTCAATTGCAACACCAGAGCAACCAGTCTGCCAATCCTGCTCCTCCTCTTCTTTTATGAGCAAAACCATAAGATACTTCAAATCACTCGCTTGGGAAGGCAACTATCCCCCAACCCAAAGGGTCCTTTTTTGGCAGAGAACCATGGCCTTAGACTTGGAGGTGCTCAAGATGTTAGAATGACACCAAGAAAATTACTTTCAATTCTACAATTGAATCTGAGGTTTTACAAAATGGACACGCCCCACCGTGTGGATACTTCTTTAAGACACTCTGGTTCGCCCGGCCACACCCCACAGCTCACGTATAAAACAGCTGTGCAGACGTGACACCGGTGATCATTTGATCTCCACTTGTGTTGTGTGTTTGTTAGTGCCTTGAGAGTGCTGTATGTATGTGCATCCATCAGGAGCCTGTTTTGGCAGCCTCCGTGGGCGCTGCCTCTCCTCTGGTATTCCCCGGGTATTCCCCGGTATTCCCCTGATATTCCCCGGTATTACCCTGATATTCCCCGGTATTTCCTTGGTATGCCCTGTTATCCCTTAGCTTGCCCTTATCTTTCCCCTTGGTTGGTCTCCCCTCCCTGGCTTATCGCCTCGAAAAATAGTCTTATGTGCCAGTCGGACCACGCTGTGCGGCTGCCGGCTAGCGAGTAGCTCGGCTACGGTGAGCAAACACAGCAGGGACACGGCCTCAGCGTTCAAGCATACGCTGTCGCCTGGGCATTGTGCAGCTCGGCTGCGATGTATGTAAACACAGAAGGGATATGGCTTCAGTGTTCCAAGCGTTCGCTGTCGGCCTGCTTAACACTGTGGGAAATAAACAGTCGAAAGGGGAATTAGGCTGCGGTTCGTGCCGGTGTTCTCGGAATCCATCCTACCTGACAAACCATCCTACCTGTTGTTTCTCCGCATGCGCACAACACGAAATTAAGTGGCGAACCATCCTACCTTTATGAATATTAGCTAGAAGCATACTTTA